TGTAACTGATGGGGATCTGATGCCTTCTTCTGGCCTCCATGAGCATTGCATGCGTGTGGTGCACTTACATACATGCAAGCAAAAATAAATCAGTAATTGTAATTAAAAAACAAATCAAGTGAGTCAAGAGTGCAGCATGCTATGGGTAAATCTTCGCTTAGCCGTAGGCTAAAATCTACACCTGGATGCGTGTTCTCATTCAGTGCTTAGGGTCTTGTTCCAGGCTCACAGCTTTGGCCAGACTTGTTCATTTCCCATGAGGCCCCTTGATCTTCAAGTCAGCAACAGCATCTAAATCCTTCTCAGTGGACTCTCTGATTTCCTCTTCTGCCCTCCTCTTGTGTTGTTTCTGTCATATCATATTCTATCTATCTATCTATCTATCTATCTATCTATCTATCTATCTATCTATCTATCTATTTACTTATTAAAACAGGGGCTCATGTATCCCAGGCTGGCCTTGAACTTGATATGTAGCCAGAGATGATCTTGACCTCTTGATCCTCTTGTCTCTCCACCTCCCAAGTTCTGGAATCACAAGGGTGTACCATCACACCTGGCTTATTTTTTGCTTGTTTGTTGGCTTGCTTCTTGGTGCTGGGGATGGAACCCAGAGAGCCTCAGGAAAGCTTGGCAAACACTGAACCACCTACTATACCAGCCCTTGGGGCTCATATGATTATACTGGTCAACTCAGGCAGTCCAGGATAATCTCTGTAAACTGATTAGTAAATTTGATTACCTCTACAGAATCCCTTTTGCCATGTAATGTAACATAGTAGCTGGAACAAACATTAGTGGACCAAAGTCCTGCCTACTGTGGACTTTGCTAGAGGACTGGATTGAGCTGGGGTGTGGGATATTGGGAAAGAGCAAGAGTAGACTACTCTGCCAAGCCAGCATGGCAGTGCATACCTGTAATCCCAGTGCTTGGAAGCTGAGGCAGGAAGACTGTGGTGAATTTGAGGTCAGCCTAGACTACATGGTGAATTCCAGGACAGCCTGGGCTAAAAATGAGAACTTGTTCCCCAAACCAAAACCAAAAGCAGCATGAATGAGAAAGAAGGAGAAGCTGAAAGAAGAGGTGGAACTGAGGGTGTCAGCAGGCTCATGGCTGTGTCCCCTGTTGTGCTTCTTAGGGACTATGGACCTCCCAGACCTGACCTCATCTCCAGACTCCAATGCTGTGGCTCACTTGCCATAGAATAGATGCCCACTGGCATCTGGAAATGAACTCTTCCCAACAGGACTCTTGATGTCCTCTCTCTAGACTTGTCTTTCCTCATTGCACACCATCCGCTCTGTGGCTTCCTCAAAATCTCAGGAATCATCCTTGATTCACCCCTTTGATTCAACTCCACCTCAGTCTACCCACTCCAAAGCTTCCATCTCCATCCGCTCTGCCCTGGCCCCGGGCTGCTTTCCTCTCTCACCTGGAGACCCGTGTGGCGACCTCATTGGTTCCCTGCTTCCACCTTGGATTCCCACTTTCTTTCCACTCAGCAGCCTCTCTTTCTCTCTTTCCAGGCACACTGGATCCTGTGTATTTCTATCAAAAGTTATCTGGTGGTATCTCATTGCACTTGGGAAGAAAACCCAAATTCTTTATCATGGTCTCAAGGGCCTCTGTATCTCGGCCTCTGCCCACAGTTCCACCACCTTCTCCCACTTAACTCTCAATATCACAGACTTCTTCCTGTTCCTGGAAGAACATGAGGCCCATTTCTGCACTAGAACAGCCTCTGCTTGGAACACTCTGTCCCCAGATCTTCCCTCAGCTGCTGCTTCTTAGTCTTCAGGTCTCATTACTTAAGTAACCAGTTAATTTTGTTAGTATTTTTTTAGACAGTTTCACACTGTAACCCATGTTGACCTGATGCTCACTATGTAACCCAGGATGGCTTCAAACGTGCAGTGAGGCTCCTGCCTGGGCCCTCTGAGTACTGTCCAGCCTCAGGTCTCACTTTAAATGTCACCTTCTCAGAGGTGACACTTCTGAAATCTTGACTTTAGGCATCTTACACATCACCCTCTAGTCAATCATATAGCATTTATATTAGTCACTTTCCTGTTGCTGTGATAGAAACACTGACCGAAGCAATTTATAGAAGGAAGAATTTATCTGAGCTTACGGTTCCAGGGGAATTACAGTCTGTCATGGCAGGGAGGCATGGTGGCTGGAGGTGGCTGGAGCAGGAGCAGCAGAAGCTAAGCTCTCACATCATCATGCAGGCACAGGAAACAAGAGAGCAACTGGAGATCTGGCAAGGCTTAAGAACTCTCTAAGCCCACCCTCAGTGACATGCTTCCTCCAGAATAGCCACACCTTCTAAAACCTCCCAAAACAGTGCCATCTGGGGACAAAATGTCCAAATCCTTGGATCCTATGGGAGACATTTTCATTTAAACCACCACAGCATTTATTTTATTTTATTTTATTTATTTATTTATTTATTTATTTATTTATTTGCTCCTTGTAGCCCCAGCTGGCCTGGAACTCGATATGTAGACCAGGCTGGCCGTGAACTCACAAAGATCCACCTGCCTCTGCCTCCCAAGTGCTGGGATTAAAGGCCCGAACCACCCGACCCAGCACCCCACCCAGCAATCACATAGCATTTATCTCATGGTTTTATTATTACCGGGTATCTTCTTGTTTATGAAGCCTTCCTAATCCTGCCTATTCCCCCCTAGACCACACCACCAGGACCTTAAGGACAAGGACTTTGTCTGTTGGCTTCCCCTCCTGAGGACTTAGAAGAGGACGTGGTCAAGCTGACACTCTAAAAGAACTGGGGGCTGGAGAGATGGCTTAGTGGTTAAGAGTACTTGCTGCTCTTGCAGAGGATCTGAGTTCAGTTCCCAGTATCCACATCAGGTGGCTTACAACTCCAGCCCTAGGAAATCAAATGCCCTCTTCTAACTGCTACAGGCACCTGAACTCATGTGTACACACACATAAATAAAAGTAAAATAAATCTTTTTTTTGTAATCTTTTTTGAGACAGGGGCTCCCTGTAGTCCCAGCTGGCCTGGAACTTGCTATGTAGATCAGGCTGGCCTTGAACTCACAGAGATCTGCCTGCCTCTGCCTCTGCCTCTCGCATGCTGGGACCAAAGGCGTGCACCACCACACCTGGCTAAAATAAATCCTTTTTTTAAAGAAGAATAAATTATTTCAATAAATAACTTTATGTGGTGCTGGGGATTGAATGTAGGGCTTTAAACATGTGAAGGAAGTGCTCGACCACTTACAAACATCCCCAGTCCAAGAAAATAACTTTTTTCTTTGAGGTAAGGTCTTACTTTGCAGCCCTGGCTGGCCTACAGTTCATTATGTAGATGAGGCTGGCCTCAAACTTGCACCCATCTTCCTGCCTCTGCCTCCTGAATACTGAGACTGCAAGCCTGTGCTACCGTGCCTTGCTAAATAACTATTTTTAATTTTTAGACAGTGTCTTGCTATGTGACCCCGACTGGCCTTGAACTCATGATCTTCTTGTTTCAGCCTCTGAGTGCTAAGATCATAGGTGTGTGCCACCACACTTTGTTCCAATAAATAGCTTTTTTTACTCCTTACTCTCATTACCTGGGCAATATAAGACACAACTAACAAATAACTCTGGAACCCTGGTTATGGCTGTGAAGCCAGGGGTCACAAAGGTGCAGGTGAGTGGCAGGAATGCCCAGGACTGAGCAGAGTGGCACTGAAACCTTCGATTCACACTTTCTAGGTGCTTATCAGCACCATCCCACTCACTGGCATGGATGTGCTTCAGGAATTCCCACAGATGGCACTTTGGAAATCTCACAGTGGCTCTGTGCCTACACACACTCAGCATGTGCTCCCTATGGGGCACTGACAAGTCACTTGTTCCTCAGTGGCTGTACTTTACAACACTGAGCTTCAAAATTTCCTCTAGTCAAATCAACAAGCACTTTCCAAGAAGAAATGGCCAAGAGGCATGTGCCTTCCTGTGCAGTATGTGTGTGTATTTGTGTGTGTGTGCCTGTGTGTGTGACTCAAGCCTCTGCCTGCCTTGAGGGTAACCTCAGCATTTCCTTTCAGCCCTGCTTTCCCCAAGCCGTGGCTGGCAGAATTTTGAAAGTGTTTTCTGGAGAAAAGCTGAGCAATAGTTTGTCATGGGTGGGACTTTGATGTTCTTCTTCACCCTGGCCCTTTATATATCACCCAGTGGCCATGGCGAATGCATCAAGCTCCGGAGGTCATTGGCAAAGCAGGCCTTACATACTCGCTCACCATCACCATGATCTTCCACACAGGTAATGCAGACTCTGCTGTTCACCATGGCTGCAGCTCTGTGACTCTTAGCATACTGGGGGAATAGTCTGGAAGGGCCATACCCAGTGGTTGCTTGACAATGGCTGCATGCCTGAAGCTGGGGTGGGCAGGTCTGATCCACACGCCTCATGATATTCTTCTCTTTCTCTAGGATCCTCGAAGTCTGCTTGGCTGCTGCTCTTCTGTGTAGGAATCTGGCTGTCCACCTGCAGGTTGTCCTTCAGTATACCGGCACTACGTGATATAAACATGATACTTGGGTGTTTAACATATGAATCTAAGGAAATTTATGACAACTATGTAAGTGCCCTAGAGATTTGCTTTCCGAACTATTTCTTTAATATGCCTTATTTTGTCCTCTGAAGCAGCTAATTGTAGATGTGAAGCTATCTGTGGAGGCCAGAAAGGGAGGAGAAGAACCAGACAAGCTGTTCATGAGGGGCACATGCACTAACAAGGGAGACAGAGGCAAACATTAGCCCAGGGATGCAACGCTAGCAACTGCCAATACACTACAGGAGTGTACGCAGCCTTCTTTATCTCAATGCTGTGTGGCTCACAGTTCTATTAAATGAGTATTCTTGCCGGAAGCACATCCATAGAGATGTGCATTTTGTGGTCAGAAGCCCTTAAGAGCAGTCTAAGCAGTAAGGGGAATCCCAGTGAATGCAGGACATTAAAATCCTCCTGTGGGTCTCCAGTGCCTTTTCCTATAGAAGGGCAGTTAACTAAGTTTCTGTCTGTGCATGCCCTCTAGAAGGCCCTCTGCCTAGCCAGACCCTGGCAGGAGCATGACACGAGATCCAAAAAACATGAATACTTTGTTTTTCTCAGGACCTCTTAGATAACTTGAATTCAAAAAATAAGCACCAAGACCGGAAGCAACGATGATACTGGTATTGTTGTCTGTCCCCATATTTCAGCTTTAGTGTTGGCCTTTATGTACCCAGAGGCAGAGGTGCTGAGCCAGCTGAGGCTGATGGGATCTCTTAGCAGTTTGGTCTAACCCAAAAGTTGTCAGTTCTGAGGAAAAGGGAGGGTCAGGAAGGACCTCAAGTCCTTCGTTTGTTTAAGAGACTCTCCCTCACACCTCAGAGGCCTTTCCAAGCAGGCATAAACCACCCTCTATCAGCAAGGGACATCAGTGGTGTTCGTGCAGAGACACAAAGAGTTGCATGGAAATGCAGATAAGCCCCTGTTCCTATCCCCCCATCCCCTGAGCCTCTGAGAACAGGTTGCAGCAGGCTGTTCAGGTCTCAGCCAGATGGGAAGAGGAGGTAGAGGCAACAATGGTTTTGAGAACTTCTGGGAACCATGGCAGGCCTGGGTGGGTAGGCCATGTCTGCTATTTGACTCTGGCCTAGCTCCATAATCCAACTATGCCTTAGTTTCCTATATAAGTGGGGATAATGATGGTACCAGCCTCACAGGGTTGTCACACCAACCAGATAAGCTATGAGCCAGACTCCTCACAGGAAGCACTGCTAGGACCCCTAGGGGCTACTGCAAACCTATTATAAGACTGTAAACCTTCGCCTCTTTTTATAGATGAAAGAAGAGCACTGGCCAGAACATCAGAAAAATTACTCTTACCTACAACTGCCATGCTTCACCCTAGGCCCTGAAGCATCAAAGAACATCTCAGTTATCCAGGCCTATCTGGAGACGGTTAAGACAGTAAGCAGCGACAGAGTAGAGACCAGAAACCTCATAAAACGTCTTGATGACATCAGCTATCACAACCTGACCAAACCAAATATTTCTGAGACTATAACCTTTAAAAATAAGTATCAACATAAGCAGTTCATAGTAACTGTTCTAAAACAGTTTTCAAGCTGTATGAAAGACCTGAAGATTCTTGGCAGGAAGTGCTGAGCAAGGTGCTGCTAAGGCCTTAGTGCCTCAGCCTGGCCAGGGCCGTGATGGCCAGACTGTGGTGTAGGGATTACATGTTGTTGTTACTAGCCTTGTTATTTATGAAATATTCTCCTTCTCCTAAAATCTTACTCTTATACCCTCATGGGGGCTGGAGGGGGCAGATATATTTATTGACTGATATTTATTGTACTGAGTTGGTAACGCTCCTTGGAGGGGCCCTCAGAATCTATTTAATAAATTATATTGACATTTTCTCATAAATCAGTTTGGAGTTTGTGATGGGGTTGAAATCAGAGGAAGGGGGGCTAGAGAGATGGCTCAGCAGTTAAGGGTACTGGCTGCTCTTGCAGAGGACCCAGGTTTGATTCCCAGGATCCACATGGCAGCTAACAGCCATTAGTAACTCCAATTCCAGGGGCTCTGATGCCCTCTTCTGATTTCCACAGGCATTGCATGACATGGGTGTACTTAAATACATTCAGGCATAGCACTCACACACATAAATAACTTTTTTGGTCTTTTTGAGACACGGTCTCCCTGTATCCTCAACTAGCCTGGAACTCACTATGTAGACAGCCTGGCTTTGAACTTACAGAGATCTGCCTGCCCCTGCCTCCCAAGTGCTGGGATTATAGGCCTGTGCCACCATGCCTGGCTAAATGAAAAAGAAATATATGGCTTTTTTTTGTCTTTTTGAGACAGGGTCTCCCTGTAGTCCCAGTTGTCCTGGAACTCACTATGTAGACCAGGGTGGCCTCTAACTCACAGAGATCCACCTGCCTCTGCCTCCCAAGTGCTGGGATTACAGGCCTGCACCACCACACCTGGCTAAATTGTCTTTTTTTTTTTGGAGCTGAGGACTGAACCCAGGGCCTTACACTTGCTAGGCAAGCGCTCTACCACTGAGCTAAATCCCCAACCCCTAAAATATTAAAAAAAAATCAGAGGATGGGAAGCCAGGCTGGATGATGTTGCTGAAGGAGGGTGGGCATGTTCTGGAAATAGCTAGGGCTTCTGTCACCACCATTTCTCCTACCAAACAGATTCAAAAAACAGATCTCAGCAGCAACAGCTGTTTGTTAAATAAACATTGTCTTTATTCCAGGTCATAAGTATGATCATTGTCCTTTCTGTATGGAAGAAGGTAAACTGAGGCAGGAAGTCGTTTGCTCAGGTTACACAGCTGTTTAGTTGGTAGCAGCCAGATTCCAGCTTGTACTTCATTACTGTGCCTGATCTTTTCCTTCCCTGGGCAGTGCCTGGATTTCATGGGTACTCAGTATTATGCCTGGGACAGGGCAACAACACAGTGTCCACTGCTCAGTTCCTCACTGCACTCCCTGGGCCTCTGCTCCTGTGAAGACCTGCTCCACCATTTCATCAGGGACTTCACAGCAGGTGTGAAGTTTTGCTGTTTAAGTAAAAGCTGGTAAGGTCCTTAGGAGTCATCTGGATGGAGGGGTCTCAAAGTGTCTGAGGATCTGCAGCAGGAACACTTGGCATCATGTTGCAAACACAAATCCTTGGCCCCATCTACTCACTTGCACCGTCTAAGCATGGAGTAAGCAACCTGATTTTGTTTGTTGCAGTACCAGGGATCAAACTCAGGACCGTGAGTATGTTGGCACTCTACCACTGAGACACATCATCAACCCAGCAGTCTGGGTTTTGAGGAGCCCTCTGGAAGAGTCTGATATGGGTTCATGCCAAGAGCTACTAATCTTGAGTCAATCAGTACCTTCACTGCCATCTTTAGGGAAACTGAGGCCCAAAGAAAGAGAAGATGTGGTTTGCCCATGAGCTCACAGAGGGGGGTGTGATTAGGACTCTGAGCTGTGCTGTTGGGACTTAGACTTCCCATTCTTGTTCCTGAGGTATCTCCACTCTGATCTCACAGGTTTTGGATAGATCAGTCCATTCAGGGTGGTATAACCAGCTTTGGAACCCACAGATGCTCTATCCCCAATGACAATGTTGGGCTATCCTTCCCTGTTGTGAATGCCAATCACTTTTTTATTAACTGTCTCAGGTCAGAAGACCTTTGTTATTATTAGAAAAGCTATCCAAAATTGGAAAATAAGGCAAAAGATAGCAATATGTCCTTTCAAAGAAAAAAAAATTATGCATGGGCCATCATGAAAGAAATGATTGGTTAGAAAAATGGGGGGAGGGGACAAATGTACCTTATACAATTCTAACAAAAAAACCCCATATAAACAGAGCAGAGACAAGGGGAATCAAGAGTCATCACTAAGGGACTGGAAAGACGGCTCAGCAGTAAAGAACACTGACTGCTCTTGCAGAGGATCTGGGTTTGATTCCCAGCACCCACATGGTGGCTTATGAACCATCCTTAACTCCAGTTCCAGGGGAATCTGAAACCCTCTTCTGACCTCTGCATTGCATGACACGGGTGCACTCACATACATGCAGGCAATACACTCATACACATAAAATAAATAAAAAAACAAAAAAACAAAAAGTCATGACTAAGACAACACCATCATCATGGCCTTGGGCAAGAGCTCCAGACTGTTAACATGAGAGGAAACGGGCTCTGCTCCAAGCATCTTCCCCAGTACAGAGCAATCCTGCTGATGGTTTTCACAAACGTCCACAAATTCTTGGCTTCGCCTTCCTCCAGCAAAGAAGGCTTGATGGACATTACTGCCTCCTCCATGGCAGGCAAGCTGGATTAGGGGGACTGTTTGCTGTTTTTTGTGGTTTTTTTTTTTTTTTTTTTTTTTTTTTTTTTTTTTTTTTCTTGGTTTTGGGGTTTTTTTGAGTCAGGGTCTGAATTAAAGGCACACACTACCAATGCCTGGCTTGTTGTTTTGAGACAAGGTCCTGCTACTACATTTAGCCCAGGCTGGCCTCCTGCTGCAGCTTCCTGAGTGTTGAGATTATAGGCATTTGCTGACATATTTACTATAATTACACATCCAGTCTCTGAAACTTTTTTTTTGAGACAGGGTCTCACTTTCTGGAACTCACTATGTAGACCAGGCTGGCCTCAAACTCACAGAGATTCACCTGCCTCTTCTTCTTGAGTGCTAGGATTAAAGGTATGTGCCATCATGCCCAGTCGATTTTGCCTTTTAAACAATTTTTTATTATTTTATGTGTATGAGTATTTTGCCTGCATGTATGTAACTGTACTTATGTGTGCAATGCCCATCTAGGCCAGGAGAAGGCAGCGCCACCACGCCTGGCTTATTTATTTTTATGTGTACGAGTGTTTTGCCTGTATGTATGTGAGTGCATCCATGTTGTGCAATGCCACAGAGGTCAGAAAAGGGCTTCAGATTCCCCTGGAACTGGAGTTAAGGATGGTTCGCAGCTGCCATATGGGTGCTGGGGATTGAACCCAGGTCCTTTGCAAGTGCAGTCAGTGCTCTTAACCACTGAGCCCCTCTGAAATCTCTCCATCCCCTCTGAAATATTTTTTTAAAATTCAGTTCCTCACTCACACTAGCTAGTCGTTTTTGGGTTTTTTTTGGTTTTGTTTTTTTTTTTGAGACAGGGTCTCCGTATAGCCCCAGCTGGCTTGGAACTCACAGAGATCTACCTGTCTCTGCCTCCCCAGTGCTGGGATCAAAGGCATGTACCACCACACCCGGACACACTGGCTATATTCTAAATGGCTCAATGGCCACGCTGTCTGACATTGGACGGCAAGGTGCAGAACATTCTTGCCAGAACAGAAAGTCTGGACAGTGCTGCCCCAGGAAAACAGCACTTTGCAGACACATTAAGCACTACTGATTGGATTCCAGGGTTTTGAACTAGAGAAAAACAGACGAGGTATAAATCATTTCTATAGAGTAGGGGAGATAGTTCTGAAGGTCAGGGTCATGTGACCAACTAGGCACTGGAGTGAGCCATTTCAGTCTAGCACGAATTCCTTCACTACCTGTGCTGGATCCACCTTTCTGATCAGCCATGCACTGCCAATGAAAGAATTGCCCATTCTGCTTAAAGATTGTTTTGACAGTCTGAGATGTGTGTGTGGCAAGTAGAGTCTATCGCCTGAAAACGTGAAGTCTTCCCAGCAGCGGTGACAAGAGGGTCTGGTTTTGAATCAGGAGCCGGGGGTCGCAGAGCAGCAGAGATGGTGGGAAATTGATCCCCGCAGGACTAGATGGGAGCCACCAATGGTGGGATCTGGAGCAAGGAGACCGAGCTGGTAGTGGCTGCACAGTGTCCCAGGTAGGTGGGCCTGAGCAATGGGCTCACAGCAATTCTGTGGGCCACCTCTTATCCCTGTTTAGTGTTCTTAACTTCTTGCTCTGCTGAAGCTGAGATCCGGACTGGGCCGGGATCTCAAAGCCTTTCTCCTGCGACTGAAAGCCCACAGTTCTGGAGATGACTCAGTCCCAGGCAGGGGGACTCCCGCTGCAGTTTTTCTGATTAAAACCACCTTGTGGGGCTGAGGAAATAGCTCAGTAAAGTGCTTGTTGCATAAGCATGAAGACGAGTTCAGATCCCCAGAACCAACATAAAGCTGGAAATGGCAGCACATTGTAATCCCAGCAGTGCTGTGATGAGATGGGAGAGAGAGACAGGAAAATCCCCAGTTCTCTGCCAGCTAGCCTGGCATATAGCATCAAACAGGCCCTGTTTCAAATGAAGTAGAAGATGAGTACCGACATTTGGGGTTGTCCTCTTACCTCCACATGCATGGCATGGCATACATACACCCACACACAAGCACACATGCATGCGCGCACATGCACACGCACACACAGGTTTTTTAAAACACCCTCACCTTGTTGCTCTTGCAGGAAGAAGAAACCTTTTGACATTTCTGATTCCCCTCTTCAACTCCCTGCTTGGCTAGACAATTTCTCAAAAGAAAAGGCGAGTTAAAAACCAAATTCCACTCAATGGGACTGGCAAGATGGCTCAGACATGGTGATGCACATCTGCAATCCCAGTGCTCTTAACTGCTCAGCTATCTCTCCAGCCCCTCTTTCTACTTATTAAGACAAAACAAA